AGAACACTTAGCTATCATCTTGTATGCTTGGGACCATCACCCAGAGGAAGAAACATAATTGTCCCACCATCCTGGGCACATGTCCTGTGTGCCCCATTCCAATGATAGCCGCTTTCCTCCCCTAGAAGTAACCATTCCCTTGATTTTGATAGTATTTACTTAATTGCATTTTTTATAGTTTAACTGTCCAAGTATGTCTTCCTAGACATAATCATTTAGTGTTACCCATTAAAAAATTGTGATTTTTTTTAATATATAGATTTACCCTCCTGTCCTTTTTTAATGCTTATAATTTATCTGTTGAAGAATCTGGGCCACTTGACCTATAGAATCCTCCACGAACTGAATTTTGCTGCTTTTGTTCTCATGGTTCAGCATTTTTATTGAAGACTGCCTTTTTTTGAACTCCAGCTCTTCCACTTGTCTAAGTTACATTTCTTAGTCTAATCCTTAAATTATAGAAACAACCATGAAGTCATTTTGTCTATTAGGCTTTTTATTATTAGACAGTAAATCATTTTACTGAGCTATTATATTCATCTCATTTTTTGCATTAACTTCATTAAGCATTATAATGAGTTGGTTAAAAGTTGATACCATCATTTACCAATTAGTTTAAGTATTAGTAATTTGGAAGTATTATATGGCAGCTTTGAAAACTTTTAATTTTTTAAGCCCCTTTTTAAAATCTGTTTTCAGAAATTTTTATATTTTGTCCTATTTTACTTTTGATCTCATATTTAATTTTCAGGCAATTATTTCTTCTCTACCATTAGTAGTTGGAATGCAATAATGTTTAGAAATATGGTTTAGTTTGTAAATTATAAATGCTGGGTTACTTAAATTACAGTATATTGCAGAATAGTTTATACAGTAGGAGTCCATTTTGTTGAAAAATAGTAATTCATTTATACTTATGGAACTGGAGCAGAAAGAATTTACACTTGAGGATTAAAAGTAATTGTGCATGATTGAGTGAATAATGTATTTTTTCTTAGGTTCTTCTTATCTGTCTTTTCTGTAGGGGGTCTTCAGTGTTAATAATTTGGTAAGGGAGAGGGTTAGGATGGGGCTTTGTTTGGCTTAAATGTTTTTCTCATTCAATTTAGGCCAGACTTTCCAACTGTATTCATCTGGTTTGATTTTTATCATCTTACATGGGCATGGATGTCATTTTTATTATTCAAACAAATCCTTACACTGACATCTAAATGTGTCCTTATTAACCCCCTATTGCTGAATACTCAGGTTATTTTAACATTTTTATCACAAACAAGATAGAGGGAAAAATAACTGGCTAAAAATTAATTCAAAATACATAGCCAAAGAAAGAATTGGGAGAGAGCTTTAATATCCTAGAAAAGGATTACCAATGTTTTAAGGCAAAATATAGAGTTGAAAATTTGCCTAGATGTGCCTAAGCATTACCAATTGGAAATGCAATTACAAGAAATATTTCTCTTTTTAACAAATGGTCATCTTGACCAAATTGCATTTGGTCAAATTGCTGTTGGACAAGCAGGAGGGGAAAGGAAAAGGTTTGAGCTTTGCTCCTTGTAGACCAAGACAGCAGTTCATTGACTGGTGCAATGGAAGTGATAAGAGACAACACTACTTACCTCATGGGATTTTATGAGAACATATGTCAAGTACTTGGCACATTGAAGATAAGTATGTCCTACCTTCCTCCCTCAATAATTTTATCAAACTGAATTACATGGGTAAATATTCATGCAACTCCATGGAGAGTTTGTTTGGAAATAGATTTGTTCTAAATAAATCCTCCAAACCAAATAACAAATGCATTATATTATGAGGAAAGAAGATCTTGGATTCCTATGAGTCCTAATAGAGTAATTGAAAAAGGGACAGTGATTTTTAAGATTCTTCCTGCTCAAAACTGAAATAGCACAGAGAGAATACAATAGAAAAAATGTAGCATGGAAGGTAGATTTTTATTTCCTGCTACTCTTAAATTATGACGAATGAGTTCAGTATCTCCCTGAGTCTGTGCAAGGACAGAGTCTATCTCTGATGGATTTAGGAAACTGAAGTAGGTCCTGTATTTGTTGCCATCACTGGTTTAAGGACTATCCCCTCAATAGGCACTGAACACTTGCACATGAAATGAATCACAGAGACCCTCAACGTCTGTTTTAACCTGATATTTATTTTATGAAAAATACATCGGTAAAGTAAATATTACATTATATGTTTTTACCACTACAATAAAAGAAAATCTAATTTAAAAACTAAATCACAAATAAATAAAAATATTTAAGGATAGAAATATTTATAAAATAATTTAAAAATATGCTTGCTTCCCTGAACAAGTTTAATCTTCTTTTTTATATCTTAGCATTGCCATTGTGACCACTGGATAACATTATAACATTTCTCAAGAGCTGAGATGTGCCCAGCTGATTGTCCTTTCATTGAATGATGTCAGATTTCTGTTCTTGAATTCTTGCATCTTTTTAAATATTGTTTGTATTTCCCTCATTACAGTCTCCTGTAGGTGTCAACTATATTTTCTATTCTCCCATAAATAATAGTAGCATCTTTAATCATCACTTTCCACACTTCCTTCAGTTTATTGCTTGTAACATGGTTATCTCATCTTCTTGTGTGTTTCTTTGTATCACACAAGAGGTTGGACTTGTACATAATATAAGGTGGATTGCTTCTGAATGAGGTATGAAAAAGGTCTATATGAGAAGAGTTTATAATTATCTCTTATATTGACAATTTTCTATTTTTTTTGAATTCATCTGTATTCTTGTATATGTTCTAGATATTTTCAATGGTCAGGTAAGAAGAGTGTGGATAAATGAAAAAATATTTTTATGTAAACATATACATGATTAATTATAGTTTGTGCTCATGATTTGAACCCTCTGATAACATTTTATTGCTCAAGAGATACACATGTAAACAAAGTTGTCAGGTAAGTTCCAATTTAAAGGAAAAGCGTAGCTTTCTTCTCACTGGGAGTATGATTGATCTCTAACTCTTGTGGAGAGAACAATGACTGCATCTTCTCTCCTAACTTGTTCTGTTTCCACTGCGCCCACCAGCATCACCATTAAGAGGTCCACAGTACAGCTTACAAGGCGCTGAAGAATTGTTTCTCACTCTTTTTTACACTGTACCTGATTTTTAAGAGCTTTGTTGAGGTGACTTATATATTACAAAATTCGCCTGTTTGAATGTGCAATGCAATTTTTAGTAAATTTACAGAATTGTGCATCCCTCACCACAATCCAATTTTAGAGCAGATTCAAAATAATATTGCTATGCTTGTCTGCTCTTTCTGAATACCTTGCTTCTTTACCAGCAGTTGTATTCCTGAGAGAGATTATGATCTTTACAAGTAGAATGCAAAGAGAAAGACAATTACTGTTTAGGTTCCAGTGGCCAAAATAAGAGTTTCAAAACAAAACAATAGTTTTACAAATCAGGCTATTGCCTTGAGATAGGGCTTTCTGAATTCTCTTATTTCCCCTTTAACATGATCTACTAGGCCTAGAAGACATAATCATGGAATTTTGTCCTTTGCACAGAGAAGATACCCTTTTACACCTTTAAAAGTTATCCAAGAAGTTAGGATCCAAAAAAGCAATAGTTAATGTAGGAAGAGGCAATGTAAAGAATTTCCATTATAATCTGAGATGATAATGGGGAGAGAAAACGAGATTGAGCCCATCCAGTGTTGCTCATTGGTTAAGCATCAACCTATGAAACAGGAGGTCTCCCTTCCCCTCTGAAATCAATAAAAATATATATTTTAAATTTAAAAATAGAGAGAGAGAGAGATTGAAGCATGAGAAGCAAGTGTTGAAAGACCTGGTCTCTCATTATAATCTGAGATGATAATGGGGAGAGAAAAAGAGATTGAGCCAGTCCAGTGTTCCTCATTGGTTGAGCGTCAACCTATGAACCAGGAGGTCTCCCTTCCTCTCTGAAATCAATAAAAATATATTTTTTAAATTTAAAAATAGAGAGAGAGAGAGAGAGAGATTGAAGCATGAGAAGCAAGTGTTGAAAGACCTGGTCTCTACTTCTTATTACTTACAATCCAAGTCAAGGGCAGGGACGGGTAGTAGATTATGGAAATACTGAAGACAACAGAGATCTTGACCAACATCACCTGAAACAAGACCACCTTAGAACTAATTCCAAGCAAAAGTGAAGGTTCAGTGAAGTCGGATGAGGGAGAGTCTGGATTTAGTTCCTTAAGGAGTGGAGGTGACTCAGAAGGACCCTCAGAGGAAGGTAGCAGGATTGTGTACCCTTGATCCTCCCAGGATCCCACTCTGATAAGGAGGAAGGCAGAAACCAGGGGATGGACCTGATCTATTTTCTATGGGGAGCCTGATGAGATACCTGCTTAAGGATGTGGGATAAGCCCAGAAGATACCACCCCCAACAGCAAGCACCCCCAGTACCTGGCCAAGATGAGAGAAAAGAGACCACGAACATGCCTCAGCCCTGATTTTCAATGGGAAAGGAGTAAAGACGTAGATAAGTGAGATTGTCCAGAGACAAAGGTGCCAGTGGACACCACACTGACTCAAGGACCTACCACTCTTCCTCCATCTTAAAGTTGAGTAACACCTGCTTTTCTCTCCATGTAACTAGAAACCATTAAGAACAGTATTGGGTGAGGTGGGGAATGGAAGTCTGAGGGGGTCAGGCCCTTTTACCCAGTAAACCTGAGCATTGCCTGAAGGGACTGTTCAATTTATTGTATCTGACCAAATTTTAAGATGCTATGTGGGTCAAATAAAATAAATTTTGTTACCTCTTTCCAGCAATGGGTACTCAAGGGAAGACAAGATTAATTTGGGACCAAAATAAAGATGCTATGTTTTCTAGTATATCTGAGAGTCATAAAGGTAATGGTGCCACAAATAGCCTTGCAGTACATGAAAGTGGTGCTTGATCCACTGCCATTAACACAGGCACTGACTTGAGCAGTGCAATTGCCAAAGGTAAACATGAACAAAGCTGGTCTTAGGTCTCCTGATGAAGTGTCCCTTGGTAAGTGAGGCTTAGTAGATAAGTTCTCCGTTTTTTAAAGGGAAAAGCAATTGGTGTCAAATGTCAGTCAGCCATATGGTCATTTGAAGCTGAATTATCCCTTCATTAATTCCTGCCTACAAACTCTTTGTTTAAGCAAAATAGTACAGAGATGCTTTTGAGATAACATAGCTGCCTATGCCTGAAGTGGGTTGATTGTGTTGTGAGGAACACTTTCAGAAATGCTGGAAGGTGATTTATGTTAATTACATGAATAGGAATATAATTGAAAAACTGACATTAACCATAGAATCATGGACAGAATATGGCAAGTCATTGTCAAGCATCATTTAGCTGAGAGCATGCTTAATCAGAGATGTTAAAGTACTACTTACAGAACTACATAGGGCTAGAGTTCAACTAAAACTCCCCATCTCAAATTCCAGAGGATTCTATTCATATTGTCAGAGCAAATCATTAAAAGTCAGAAGTCAACTCTGAAAAATACTGGTTAAATCAGAATTGGATTGGTTGTTTGTTTTTTTGTTTCCACCAGCATCTGAGATGTCTTGATGCAGTGTTTAAACATTTCAGCATTCAGGAGCTTCTTAATGGGAAATGTTACAGAGCAACTGTCTGAATTATTTGCTGTCAGCAAGCCATTGTTAAATATTAAAATCTGTTTTGGTGATTTAGCTGCAGCATTGACAAATCTTAAAATTCCACACTCCATTTTTTGCCCATTAAATACATTGCTAAGTCTTCCCTTTGTTTGAGTTTCTTAGCTGATAAGTCTATTCCCAACTCAGTATTCTGGGTCCTTTGTTGTTTGATCCCCTAATACTTTGTATTGACTTGCACAATCAATAGAGACTTAGTGGATATTTATGACATATCTGTTGTTTCAGATGCTATGTGGGTCAAAGAATACATTCAGGGAACATATTTCCTTCATATGTATTTTCATCATGGTATATTCTGTTTTGCCATCAGCTCAGTTTTATTTTAGTACCTAATTTGTATGAAGCAGTGATAGAGGAGAAAGAAAATCTATGAAAAATTCAATTTCCTAATATTCTTCATCGGTGGCCTTATTTTTCAAGTTGATGGCACAACAAAACAGAATTTTAGAAAGTAATTGTGGAACATACATATGATGACAGTTTTGCCCAGAAGTGTTCAATACAATATGCCAGCTTAGTAGTTAATTGTTTTTTTATTGTTTTGTGTGTGTGTTAGTCCAATCTCCCCAATGAAAGAGGAAGCATGGTTTAATGAAAAGAGAAGAGACGTTGCATCAATTATGGTTTGAATATCAGCTCTGCTTTTTACTACACCAGCTATATGACCTTCATCAAGTTAACTAACCTTTCTGATTCTCATTTCCATGTTTGTACAATTGGGTTTGATTCTTGTTTCATAAAGTGTATGAAGATTTGTGCAAAAGCATATAATGTGAGTGCCTTCACTACTTTGTACCTTGTGAAGAAGACCATCTAATCTCTTTGGTAATGAAAACTTAGATGGATAGAGAGGTTCAAGCAATCTCAATCTTCCCAGCTAAACTCAACTCCAAGCCAACATGCAAGTTGATCAGTTGTGTGAGTGAGCCTAGACAAGACCAGCAGAATTACCCAGCTAAGTCATAGCATCATGAGAAATAATACATCATTGTTGTTTTAACCCTACCAGACCGCTGTACTGATTTTTTGGTAATTTCCACACAAAGGTGGAATATTGGCGCTAGATGAAAGGTACATGAAAGGTAGACCTATTTTCTACAATGTCTCCAAGTTCCATCTTATTCTAACCATTTTACTATACCATGTTGGTTTTTTCTCTTTAATGCTCAGGAGCCCAGGTATAGGGGACAGTTAGGTTCAGGGCCTCAGGTGTGGTAGGATTAAGCTACTAAATCTTGTGGTAATTTGTTACATGACTCTAGGAAACTGATGCACCCTCCCAATAAATTATTTGTCTGCTTAACTTAACCAGAGTAAGTTTTAGTTGTTTGTATCTTCACAGGGTTCTTATGTGTGATAAACACACTACTGTTTATGAAGGATTTCCTAAAAACCTGGCACATAGTAAATGCTAAATAAATGCTAACCATTACTATGTGAAATAGGCTCTACATTCTTATGAGAGGTGAAGTGTGGAAAACCCTGAGAGGCTCTGACAGACCTGTAGAAGAGCATATCGAAGCATCAAACACTGTGTGTGCCAGTAATTCTCAGTTCCCTTAAATTAAAAAAATTAGGACACTTGCTAAATTATCTGTAAATGCTTGTCAAGCTCTAAGATCCCATGTTCCTACATGAAATTGGCGAAAGCAACCTTGGCACAAATTCTAGATGGATACAAACCCATGCATGAGTGGGTATCAGGTGTGGCATACCTATGCCAAGTCTTCATCATCTGTTTGTGTGGTATTCTGTGAATACTTCATTTACCAACACCAGAGTAGCAGTGAGATATGTGGGCATCCCCAGAGCTTCTGCATATAGGGGCACCATCTATAATATAGTTTATGTGACTCTGTTGGCTCCCAGGTAAATTTTTTTAGAATATTTGCTCTGATTTTATATGCGAGTAAAGCTAATTCTATGTAGCCTAAAGGATAAGGAAAATCTACATCACTGAGCAGTTCATGTCTGACCCCAAATTTGTATATCCCACTTAGCAATGCATTTTCCCTCCAACTAAAAGAGTCCCCCCTCTTTGGAAGGAAGTTTAGATCATCTATTTTTTTTCCTTTGAGCTGTATCTTACTGCCATTCCAAGCAGCTTTATGGTATATTCTTTCCAATTACATTTAATAAACTCCACAAAAGGGTTCTGGTCAATGCAAATTTCTGCATTTTAGGGCGGCCACATGTGAATGTCACAGTATGTGTGTAGAGGTACTAAGAAGCTGAGAGTAATTGCCCTCACTCACCTAGAAGATGATCTTCCCAAGACCAAGGCTAGGAGACTGAACCCAGAGTACAGATGAGCCTCATATCAGAGTTAATCAATGGATCATGCAAATGAGGCAGCCATTTATAGCATTTATTTAAATTTTCATTTAAATTGCTGGTTAAGTGGAATACATTTAAAATCCTGAAGTCAACACTTAGCAAATTGGTTTTAAAACTATATATTAAATTGCATCACATTGCAACTTAATACATAGTTCCAAGATAATCACTTCTTGCTAAGGAGTACAAAATATGTGTTCAAAGAGTTTAGTGTGGTTTATGAGGCACAAGAAGCAATATTTTCTTGTTTGCTTTTTGTGAAAAAGGTAAAATGTAGTAATAATCAACATAACTTCTGAACTTAGGCTGTTTGGCTTTACTTACTAGCTATGTGATGTGGACAATTATTTTCATCTCTCTGGCCTCAAATTCCCTATCTGAAAAATGAAGCTAATAAAGGTATTTTCATCCTAGATTTATTATGAGGATTAAATAAGGTAATTCATATAAGGTGCCTAGTTCAGTTCCTGGTCCAATAAATGTTAATTATTGTTATTGTTTAGTAAGTACAGTTGTATTTTTTTTTTGTTTCCTTTTTTGCCATACTACTCCTAGAAAGGAAAGGAAAGTCACACAATGGCTTGCTCTATATTCCTTTTTGGCAGTATTGTTCTAGAGTCTCTTTTGCTAAGATAGTACTCTACTCATTGACCTCAAGCATCCAGACTTATACGTAAGTGGTATGTTTTTTAAAAAGAGAAAGAAGAAAACACTATATTTATTTTCTGATGATTACTGGGTGACCTTCCAGCTTTGGAGAACAACACATATACATGGGAGACTCTAAGGGACCAGAGAGTATACTTAGTAAGGTGTGTCTAGTTGTTTTAACTTTCCTTAGTTGAAATGCCTAAAGATGCCAAGTTATTTAGACTATTAGTTATGGTTCCCTAGTTTCACAGAATATAGAATGACACTCACTAAGAGGCGGGGCGGGTTGGGGGAGTTATTGAAAGGATCTTGGAGAACTCATAGAAGTGGAGAGAGAGCTACATAATTAGGCCTTGGGAAAGATAGGAGCCAAGGCAACTCCGGAGATATGGAATAGTTGGGACTTGGAGATACCCACTAAAGCAGATAACCTTAACTGATGGTGCCACCCAAGACAATGTCCCGGGGGAAGGATGGCTCCAGTTCAATGCTGGTTAGGCTAACAACACCCCAAGCAAACAAGCCAACTAAAATTGGGCATTCTACCTACTTGGTATTAAATCTCAGAAAAGACAGGCGTCACTGATAAAGCAACAAGTAAAATCTGATGCTTTACAAACATATGTAGACAATGAAGACTCAGAGAGGACAAGAAGCCAAGATGGCAGAGGGGGAAATGGCCACAGGGACTGGCAGTGGCTACTGAAGGTGAAGGAAGACACAGTGTACGGCTCCTGGGGAACACAGTGCACCTTGGAGGAATAGCTCCCTTTGAGCCCAATAAAACTACATCATCCACAGCCAAGTTCTACAGCCTGGGCTGCAATTTACCCTGTAGGTTTGCCAAATCCAGTTTTCTCCTGGAGCCCAACTTAATTCAAGCCCCTGAGAACTGAACTTGTACCCATCAGAAAAGTTTATAAGGTTTGAAGGTAGGATGGAGGGGTGGAGGTGGGGTGTTCCTAAGAGCTTCCTATCAGTATGACAAAGTCGTATAAAAACCTTATACAAAGCTTGTTAAGTACTGTTTACTCAAGCAATAGGAATAGTTGATAGATGTCTCTGGAAAACTTACTCCTCTGAAAACATCAGAAGGTTACCCAGTTACTGGCCTGGGACCCAGTGAAAGGAGAATATTTTTGAAATTAAAAATCAATAGATAGGATTTATGGTGCACCGTACATTGATTGACCATTGACAGGGCACTGACAGCTGCTTTTTTTTTTGAGGAGGGGGGCGCTGTTTCAGAGATTCCCCTTCTGAGGAGCTTGTCCTCTCAGAGAATAGATGTTCATGGACCCAGATTTTTTGTTGAAGGCAGTGCCTTCGTATTTCAACAGAATCTGAATCATCATTTCACTGGCATCCCAGATGCTAATGCAACAGGACCTCATAAAATAAAACCCTGGGTGATGGAAAGATGTCACTTTCCAGAAATGTTGTATTTTCATCCACCCTTTGCAAGGGAGGAGCCAATGCATGGATGCACAAAATGATTTTGTTCCTATCTTATTCTGTAACGTTTTCATCTAACGATCATTTTAGAACACAGGGTTACTGGAGGATAGAAAATGATCCTTCCCCATGAACGGTGGCAGGGCTCATTAAAAGACACAGGATTCTTGGATCCAAGTTTTCGGTAACACTATTGTAGGGGAGAGATTAAAATAAATATAAACCTACTGTCTTGTCTTTTATCTGATTCATGTCCTCCCTCTCCTTGGCCTGGATTATTGCCATCAAATCTCCCCACCTCCAGTTCTTGTTTTCCCATCTCTACATGAATACTCACTGCATCTTTCTGAAGCACTCTCCTTTCCCATCAGAAGTTCTCAATGGCTGCCTGTTGCCTACCAAGTAACATCTAAAGTCCTCAGCCTCTATTCAAGCTCCTGTAAGATCAGTCACCAGGCCTCCTTTTCACTAGTCACTTTTCCCATTTACAGACCCTGCCCCTTGGACAAACAGCAATTCTTGAGGTTATCTAGACACAGACAGACAGACATTTTTCTGCCTCATTCATCTTTGCTTACTTTTTTGTCATGAATGTTCTTGCCATGACCTTTGTTTCTACCCCATCATAAGCATTTTTCTACTAATCAGTGAGAAAATCTTGATACTCTACCCCCCCCCTCACCACCCACTTACCCAACTTGTCCTTTTCCAGTGGCCTACATAGCAGTATGGCCCCCAGCATTCCCCTGGTGTCTCAGGCCCCAACCCTAAGAGTCACCTTTGGTTCTTTTGTTTTCTTGACCCCCTGCATCTACTTCCTCAGCAAGTCCTCTTGGCTTTACCGCCAAAATGTCTCCCACTTCGCTACATTTCTACCGCCTCCTTCCTGACCAAAGCTGCCATGATCTGGTGCGTGAACTTCTGCAATAGCCTCCTAAGCAATGTCCCTGTTTCTACATCTGCCTCCGACAGTCCATCATCCTCATGGTATCAAGGTAATCTTATAACTGCAAATTAGATCATGTTGCTCCTCTGTATAGAACCCTTTAAGTGGCTTCCTGTTGCTTTTAGAATAAAATACCTTACCTGATCTATCTCTCCAAATCTCACTTATCCTTGTTCTCACACTTGAGCCACATTGATCGCTTTCTGTTTCTTTAAGAGGCCAATTTACTGATTATTTGCATTTTTCTGTTCCTTCTACCTGGACTAGTTTCTTTTTCCAGGTCGGGCTCCGTCTCCTCTTTCACGTCTCAATTCAAATGTGGCTTCTTCAGAATGCTTTTCCCTGACCAGGTTCTAAAATAACTTCTTGTCTGTGTTCTGTCAAGTCATTCAGGTAATTTTCTTTAGAGCATTTGTTAGAGTCTGCAACAAATAAAGAAGAGAGAGAAGCTGGGGGGGAGAAGTGGTTGCAGTTTTAAGTAGGGTTATCAAGGAAGGCCTCGCTGAGATGCTGGTGTTCAAGAAAAAAATCGAAGAAAATTGAAGAAGCCAAAGTGATGAGCTTGGGGGACAGAAATAAGAGATGAAGTTTATGGTCCAAGAGATAATTGGAAAGTAGCTCATTGTAGGCCATAGAGGTCATTATAAGAACTTGATCATTGGTTTAATGCGATAAATGGCCGTTGGATGGTTTGAGTATAGTAGTCGTCATGTGATCTGAATGATCTTTTCAAAGGAACATAGGAGTTACCATGTTGAGGTTAGTCCACGTGGCATGTAGGGTATACGTGGAGGTTGGGGGATCAGTTGGGAGGCTGCTGCACTAATGTAAGTATTTGATGGTGGTTTGGACTAGTA